TTTTTAAAAAATAATTTAATTTTTAAATTTATTTTTGTGGATACATAATTTGTGTATATATTTATGGGGGTACATGACATACTTGGACACAGGCATTCAATGAGTAATACATAATAAAAAATGGGGTATCCATCCCCTCATTCATTAATTGCTTGTGTTATAAACAATCCAATTATACTCTTTTAGTCATTATAAAATGTATAAATTATTTTTGACTATAATCACCCTGTTGTGCTGTCAAATATTGTTTTATTCATTTTTCTAACAATTTTTTGTACCCATATAACATTCCCACTATCCCCCACTTCCCCCACTGCCCTTCCCAGACTCCAGTAGCCATCCTTATACTCTGTCCCTATGAGATCAATTGTTTAGAATTTTAGCACCCACAAATAAATAAGAACATATGACATTTGTCTTTCTGTATCTGACTTATCTCACTTAACATAAAGACTTTCAGTTCCATTTATGTCATTGTAAATGACAGACTCTCATTCTCTCTTATAGCTGGATAGCGTATATGTACCACATTTTCTCTATCCAGTCATCTCTTAGTACACATTTAGATTCTTTCCAAATCTTGGCTATCATAAACCCTGCCATAGCAAACATGGGAGTACTGATATGTCTTTGATTTGTCAATTTTATTTTTTTTAGGTATATACTCAGCAGTGAGATTCCTGGATCATATTGTAGTTCTATTTTTAGTTATATCGGAAACATCCAAATTGTTTCCAACAACAGGGTATGGGGGTAAAATGATATCTCATTGTAAGTTTGATTTGCATTTCTATAATAATCAGTAATATGAAGCACCTCTTCATTTGTCTGTTTGCCATTTGTATGTCTTCTTTTCATAAATGTTTATTTAAATTTTTTGCTTACTCTTTAATTAGGTTATTACATTTTTTCCATAGAATGTTTTGAACTCTTAATATATTGTTCTGTGTTAGTCTGCTACTGCACTGCAATGAAAAAATACATGAGACTGGTAATTTATAAAAAAAATCAGTTTAATTGACTCACAGTTTCACACAGCTGGGGAGGCCTCAGGAAACTTACAATCATGGCAGATAGGGAAGCAGGCATCTCTTACATGGCAGTAGGAGAGAGAGCAGGTATGTAAAGCAAAGAGGGGAGATATCCTTACAGAAGCATCAGATGTCATAAGAACTCATTCACTATTACAAGAAAAGCATGGGGGAAGCACCCCCATGATTTAATCACTTTCTACCAGGTCTCTCCCTCAACAATTGGTGAGTAAAATTTAATATGAGATTTGGGTGAAGACACAAATCCTAACCACATTATGTAGCTATTAATCCCTTTTCAGATGGCTAATTTACAAATATTTTCTCCCATTCTGTGGGTTTTCTCTTCACTTTGTTGATTGTTTCCTTCACTGTAAAAAAGCTCTCTAACTTGCTGTAATCCCATTGTCCATGTTTGCTGTGTTTGTCTTTGCTTATGGGGCATTATTTTAGAAATTTTTGCTCAAACCAATGCCCTAGAGAGTTTCCCCAATGTTTTCTTGTAAAAGTTTGATAGTTTGAGATGTTAGGTTTAAGTCTTTAACTCATTTTAATTTGGTTTCTGTATGTGGCCAGAAATAGGGTTCTAGTTTCATTTTTCTGCCTATGACTTGCCAATTTTCCCAGCTCTATTTATTGAAGAAATTGTCTTATTTTTTATTGTATGTTCTTGGCACTTTCATTGAAAATAAGTTTACTCTAGGTTTATGAGTTTGTTTCTGGGTTCTCTATTCTGATCCATATCTGTGTTTATGCTAGGGCCATGCTGTTTTAATTACTATAGCTTGGTAGTATAATTTGAAGCCAGGTAATGGGATTCCTCCTGTTTTGTTTTATATACTCAGCATATATTTGATTATTATAGTATTTTATTGTTCCATATAAATTTCAGAATTCTTTATCTATTTCTTTGAAGAATGTCATTATTATTTTAGTGGAGATGGCATAAAATCTATAGATTGCTTTGGATTGTGGGAACATTTTAAAAATACTGATTCTCCCAATCTGTGAACATAGAAATATTTTTCTATGTTTTGTGTCCTCTTTCCTTTCTTATACTAGTGTTTTATAGTTTTAATTGTTGAGAACTTTTATTTCTTTGGTTAATTTTTACACATTTTGTTTTATTTGTGGCTATCGCAAATAGCATTATTTTTTAAAATTCTTTTTCAGTTTGTTCACTGTTGGCTTATAGAAATTCTACTGATTTGTATATATCAATTTTGTATTCTGCAAATTTAATTAACTTATTAGTTCTAATAGTCTTTTTAGTGGACATATTAGGCAATTCTTACATTGCTATAAAGAAATAATTTGGGTAATTTATAAAAAAAGAGTTTTAATTGGCTCATGGTTCTACAAGCTGTACAGAAAGCATAGCACTGGGTTCTGTTTCTGGAAAAGCCTCTGACAGCTGACACCCAAGGTAAAAGATAAATCTGGTGCTTGTACATCACATTGTAAATTCGAGGGTGTCTGTGGGGGGAAGTGCTACATACTTTTAAACAACCAGCCCTCATTAAAACTTACTATGTAAGAATAAGAAAATGATACCAAAATATTCATGGAAATTCTGCCCTCATGATTGAATCACCTCCCCAGCAGACCCACCACCAACATTGAGGATTACATTTCAATATGAGATTTTGGTGGGGACACACACTCAAACTATATTAGTTTGCCCTTGGCCATTCCAAATCTTATATCCTTCTCATATTTTATTTTATTTTATTTTTCTTTGAAATGATTTATTGTTCGGTTTTGCACATGTGTGCTGAGGACAGAGCAGGTCCAGCCTGGGGCCTGCTCCCCACTGCAGCATTCCAGGCCCCCAGAGCTGGCCAAGGGTGACAGGGCGCATCTTTCCACGTTAAGAAAGGGGAGATTCCCTGAGTAAAAGACGTTTCCTTAAGTAGGAAGTGTCCAGCCTCCAGGAGCGGCCCTGAGGGTGGGGGTTCTGGGCCTTCAGGCCACAGCACTACTCATGACTTCTGAGAAGCCACCTGGTGTGCGAGGCGTGGCTGTCTGAGGCTCCTGCAGCTCAGGCTGGGTCCCTTTCCAGGCCAAAGACTTCTCCAATTTGGTTTTAAAAAGCAATCCGTGCTACCTGGGCAGTCCACGGTCTCTTTTGAGGCTCGCCTCTTGCAGCAGCCATGGCACAGGCTGAACACACATCTGTTGCCCTTTGGGTTGCCACACTGGTTACACTTTGCATATTTTGGCTTCAGAGAGGGGTCGAAGGTCTTGTGGGGGTTCCTCAGCTGCTTCTTCTGCTTGTTCTTGGACAGGACTTTCGTGCCACACTCCGCCTCCTCCAGGGCCCGCTTGCTGTGCCCACCTGCCTTCTCCTTGCTCCCCTCCCTGGGCCCCGGCCGGACGTAGGGCTGGCAGATCCAGTAGAAGGGCAAGTCGCCGGCGGGTTTCGCTCCCTCCTGCCTGGATATCTCCTCCTGACACCACATCTTCAGCTTCTGGCTCACGGCGGCAATGCCTTCCAGGGTCTTCACCTTGGCCAGCTCCTCTCGCAGCTGCTGATGCACCTGCAGTGTGTGGTGCCACAGCTTGAAGAGGTGGACCCGGATGTAGGACAGTGGGCAGGGGTGCTCCCGCACGATGTCCGGGTATCCCTCGGCCTGCTCCCACACGGCAGGGCTCCAGCCCTTAAAGAGGGCAGAGTTGTGCAGGTTGCCTTCTGCGCTCATGACACCCTGTACACCCGTGTCCTGGATGCAGCCCTCCACATCCTGTAGGCTCTGGATGTTCCCATTGGCAAACACAGGAATGGCCACAGCTTTCCACACAGCCTTAATGTGTTCCCAGGAGGCTGCACCTGACAGGGTCCCCTTCTGCTCCTTGGTGCGCCCATGAATGATCAACAAATGGCAGCCGGCCTTCTCCAGCATCTGGGCATAGCTCACGGTCTTGTCAATCTCTGGGAAGACACGGATTTTGCACGTGACGGGAACAGAGACTTTCTCGTGGGCCAGCAAAATTATTCTTTAGAGCAGGTTCCATTCGTCCTGCAGGAAGGCGCCATAGTGACCTCTCTTGGCTATCATCTGTGGGCAACTGAGGTTCAGGTCGATGGCGTCACAGTAAACCTGAGCCAGGAGAGCCACCTGAACTAACACCTCCGGGTCATTGGTACAGAACTGCACGATGAGGGCCTGGTCCTCGGGGCACACCTCACAGTACAGGTTCTCCTTCTGGTAATTGGCGTCGCAGACGAAGACTTGGGCATGCAGCATGGACGTGTAGCAGAGCTGTGCCCCGTGGCGCCGGCTCAGCAGCCTCCAGGCCAGCTCGCTCTGGTCCACCATGGGGGCCACCACGTGGCGGGACCCGAAGGGTGTGACTCCAGAACTCGAAGCCCTGCAGCTTTGGCATCCTCTCCAGGTGCTCGAGTGTTCCGCCGTGTCCGTCGTGCGCCTTTGGCTCTGAGGGCGCCGGCCGCCTGTGTCCCGGGCCTGCCCCGCTCTGGCCGACGCCAAGGGACCCTGCCACGCTTGGGCCTCCGGGAACGCCAGCACTGCGCTGGGGCCCGCAGCCGGGCTGCAGCTGGGCCCAGGGCTCTGCGCCGACACCGGCCCTTCTCATATTTTAAAATACAATCATGACTTCCCAATAATCCCCAAAGTCTTAGCTCATTTTAGCCTTGATTCAAAAGTCAAAAGTTTCATCTAGGGCAAAACTAGTTTCTTCCTTCTATATGCCTGTTTAAAAAAAAAAGTTAGGTAGGTACTTCCAAGATACAAAAGGGGTATAGGCATTGGGTAAATACTCCTATTCTAAAAGGAAGAAATCAGCCAAAAGAAAGGGGCCACAGGACCCATGCAACTATGAAACCCAGAAGGGCAGTTATTAAATTATAAGAATTCAAAATAATTATTTTTGACTCTCTGTCCCATTTCCTGGACATATTAATGCTTTGGGAAAGTCTGACCTTGTGGCTCTGCATGGTTCAGCCCCTACAGCTGCTCTCATGGGCTGGTATTGTTTGCCTCTGACTTTTCATGGTGCAAATCTCGAGCTGTAGCTGGATCTACCATTCTGGGGTCTGGAGGACAATGATCCTCTCCTCGTAGATCTACTATGCCATGCCCCAGTAGGGCCCCTGTATGGGGACTGTAATCCCACATTTCTTCTCTGCATTGTTTTAATAGAAATTCTCCATGAGGGCTCCACCACTGCAGCATGTTTCTGCCTGAACTCCCAGGCTTTTGCATAATTTTTTGAAATAAAGGTGGAGGCTTTCAAGTCTCAACTTTTGCATTTTGTAATAGGCTTAACAGCACATGGAAGCTACCAAGGCTTGTGACTTAAACCCTCTGAAGAAGTGACTGGAGTTGTAACTGGGCCAATCTGAGATACTCCTGGAGCTGGAGCGGTGGCCAGGATGCAGGAAGCCATGTTCCAAGGCCTCCCAAGAGAGTATGGTCCTCAGCCTGATCCCAGAAACTATTGTCTTATTTTAGATCTCAGGGCCTGTGATGGAAGGCTGCCTCTTAGATTTCTAAAATGCCTTCAAGTCCTCCATCTCATTGCCTTGGCTATCAATACTTGTTTTTTTTTTTTTAATTATGCAAATATCTCTAACATTGGTTGCTCCACAGCCTACTTGAATTTCTCTCTTATAAAAGCTCTTTATTTTTCTGCCACATGGTTAGCCTGCAAAGTTTTCAAAATTTTACACCATGCTTCTTTTGTATATAGAAGTTACAACTTATTTTTTTGGCTCCAGCATGTAAGTATAAGTTGTTAGAAGCATCCAGGCCATATCTCGAATGCTTTGCTTCTTAGACATTTCTTCCAAAAGAAATCCTAAATGGTCACACTCTCAAATTCAAACGTTTATATATCTCTAGGGCATGCACTTGGCTGAGACATAACATGCATGACCTTTGCTTTGGTCCCAGTAAGTTCCTAATTCTCATGCGAGACCACCTCAGTCCGGCCTTCACTGTCCAGCGAGACCACCTCAGTCTGGCCTTCACTGTCCGGATTACTATCAGCATTTTGGTCACAGCCATTCAACCAGTCTTTAAGAAAATATCAACGTTCCCTCATTTTTCTGTCTTCTTCTGAGTTCTACAAACTCTTCCAACCTCTGCCTGTGTACCCAATTATGAAGCTTATTCCACATTTTTAGGTATTCTTACAACAATTTTCCCTTTTTGGTTTCAATTTTTTGTATTAAGCCATTTTTGCATTATTATGAATGCCTGAGACTGGGTAATTTATTTTTAAAAAGGAAGTTTAACTGGCTCATGATTCTACAGGCTGTAAAGAAGACATAGCCCTGGCATATGCTTCTGGGGAGGCCTCTGGAAGTCTACAATCATGGCAGAAGATGAAGCAGAATCTTGCACATCACAGGACAAAAAGCAGGAGCAAAAAACAAAGGAGTAAGTTGTTACACACTTTTAAATAACCAGATCTTATGGGAACTCACTCACTATCATGAGGATAGTACCAAATGGGATGGTGCTAAGCCATTTATGAGTAATCTACCCTGATGGTTAAATCACCTTTCACCAGGCCCACTTCCAACATTGAGAATTACATTTCAATATGATATTTGGGAGGTTTAAATGTATATTTAAACCCTATCAGAGGAGTCTTTATTTTGTTCCAAATATAAGATTATATCATCAGCAAAATGAAAATAGTTTGAATTCTTTTCCAGTTGGAATGCCCTTTATTGCTTTCACTTATCTGATCGCTCCAGCTAGTACTTTCAGAATTATGTTGAATAACTGTGGTAAAAGTGGACATTCTTGTCATCTTCCAGATTTCAGAAGAAAGCTTCTAGTTTTCCCTCACTCAGTATGATACTAGCTGTGTGTCTGTCATATGTGACTTTTATTACGTTAAAGTATGTTCATTCCATACCCAGTTTTCAAAGGTTTTTTTTATTATAAAAGAATATTAAATTTTGGCTGGGCTCAGTGGCTCACACCTGCAATCCCAGCACATTGGGAGGCTGAGATGGGTGATCACAAGGTAAAGAGATGGAGAGTGTTCTGGCCAACATGGTCAAACTCTGTCTCTACTAAAAATACAGAAAAAATAGCTGAGCATGGTGGTGCACATTTGTAGTCCCCACTACTCAGAAGGCTGAGGAAGGATAATCCCTTGAACCTGGAGGCAGAGGTTGCAGTGAGCTAAGCTCATGCCATTGCACTCCAGCCTAGTGACAGAGTGAGACTCTGTTTAACAAAAAAATATTAAATTTTATTATATAATTTTTTAGCATAATTGAAATGATCACATGGATGTTGTCCTTTATTCAGTTTATATGATGTATCACATTGATTTTGATGTTGAACCATCTTTACATCCTTGGAATAAATCCCACTTGATCATTATGAGTTACCTGTTTATGTATTCTTTCATTCAGTTTGCTAGGTATTTTGGACATTTTTCATCAATATTCTCAGATATGGGCCTGTAGTTTGCTTTCTCAATGTTTCTTCGTCTGGTTTTGATATTGGGTAATACTGGCCTCAAAGAATGAGTTTGGAAATGTCCCCCTCTTCTCTAATTTCAGTCTGGTCCTACAGCCTTTTATATTCAGGTTTTAATTTCCTTCTTTTTTTTATTGCATTTTATGTTTTGGGGTACATGTGCAGAACATGCAAGATAGTTGCATAGGTACACACATGGCAGTGTGTTTTGCTGCCTTCCTCCCCTTCACCCACATTTGGCATTTCTCCCCAGGCTATCCCTCCCCAGCTCCCCCCCTGCTGTCCCTCCCTTATTTCCCCCAATAGACCCCAGTTTGTAGTACTCCCTTCCCTGTGTCCATGTGTTCTCATTTTTCATCACCCGCCTATGAGTGAGAATATGCGATATTTTATTTTCTGTTCTTGTGTCAGTTTGCTGAGAATGATGTTCTCCAGATTCATCCATGTCCCTACAAAGGACACGAACTCATCATTTTTGATTGCATAATATTCCATGGTGTATATGTGCCACATTTTCCCAATCCAGTCTATCATTGATGGGCATTTGGGTTGGTTCTAGGTCTTTGCTATCGTAAACAGTGCTGCAATGAACATTCGTATGCATGTGTCCTTATAGTAGAACAATTTATAGTCCTTTGGATATATACCCAGTAATGGGATTGCTGGGTCAAATGGAATTTCTATTTCTAGGTCCTTGAGGAATCACCACACTGTCTTTTGCAATGGTTGAACTAATTTACACTCCCACCAGCAGTGTAAAATTGTTCCTATTTCTCCAAATCCTCTCCAGCATCTGTTGTCTCCAGATTTCTTAATGATTGCCATTCTAACTGGCATGAGATGGTATCTCAATGTGGTTTTGATTTGCATCTCTCTAATGACAAGTGATGATGAGCATTTTTTCATATGTTTGTTGGCCTCATGTGTGTCTTCTTTTGTAAAGTGTCTGTTCATATCCTTTGCCCATTTTTGAATGGGCTAGTTTTTTTCCTGTAAATCTGTTTGAGTTCTTTGTAAATTCTGGATATCAGCCCTTTGTCAGATGGGTAAACTGCAAAAATTTTTTTCCATTCTGTTGGTTGCTGATTCACTCTAGTGACAGTTTCTTTTGCCATCCAGAAGCTGTGGAGTTTTATTAGGTCCCATTTGTCTATTTTGGCTTTTGTTGCTAATGCTTTTGGTGTTTTAGTCATGAAGTCCTTGCCTACTCCTATGTCCTGAATGGTTTTGCCTAGATTTTCTTCTAGGGTTTTTATGGTGCCAGGTCTTATGTTTAAGTCTTTAATCCATCTGGAGTTAATTTTAGTGTAAGGTGTCAGGAAGGGGTCCAGTTTCTGCTTTTTGCACATGACTAACCAGTTTTCCCAACACCATTTATTAAACATGGAATCCTTTTCCCATTGCTTGTTTTTGTCAGGTTTATCAAAGATTGTATAATAGTAGATATGTTGTGTTGCCTCTGATGCCTCTGTTCTGTTCCATTGGTCTATATCTCTGTTTTGGTACCAGTACCATGCTGTTTTGATTACTGTAGCCTTGTAGTGTAGTTTGAAATCCAGTAGTGTGATGTCCCCCGCTGTGTTCTTTTTGCTTAGAATTGACTAGGCTATGCGGGCTCTCTTTTGGTTCCATATGAAGTTCATGGTGTTTTTTTCCAGTTCTGTGAAGAAAGTCAATGGTAGCTTGATGGGGATAGCATTGATTCTGTAAATTACTTTGGGCAGTATAGCCATTTTCATGATAATAATTCTTCCTAATCATGAACATGGAATGTTTCTCCATCTGTTTGTGTCCTCTCTGATTTCATTGAGCAGTGGCTTGTAGTTTTCCTTGAAGAGGTCCCTTACGTTATTTGTAAGTTGTATTCCTAGGTATTTTATTCTTTTTGTAGCAATTGTGAATGGCAGTTCGTTCTTGATTTGGTTCTGTTTAAGTGTGTTATTGGTGTATAGGAATGCTTGTGATTTTTGCACATTGATTTTATATCCTGAGACTTTGCTGAAGTTGCTTATCAGTTTCAGGAGTTTTTGGGCTGAGGCAATGGGGTCTTCTAGGTATACTATCATGTCGTCTGCAAATAGAGACAATTTGGCTTCCACCTTTCCTATTTGAATACCCTTTATTTCTTTTTGTTGCCTGATGCTCTGGCTAGAACTTCCAGTCCTATATTGAATAGGAGTGGTGAGAGAGGGCATTCTTGTCTAGTCCCGGATTTCAAAGGGAATGCTTCCAGTTTTTGCCCATTCAGTATGATATTGGCTGTTGGTTTGTCATAAATAGCTTTTATTACTTTGAGATATGTTCCATCGATACTTAGTTTATTGAGGGTTTTTAGCATAAAGGGCTGTTGAATTTTGTCAAATGCCTTCTCTGCATCAATTGAGATAATCATGTGGTTATTGTTTTTGGTTCTGTTTATGTGGTGAATTACGTTTATATACTTGCGTATGTTGAACCAGCCTTGCATCCCCGGGATAAATCCTACTTGATCATGATGGATAAGTTTTTTGATGTGTTGTTGCAATCAGCTTGCCAGTATTTTATTGAAGATTTTTGCATCTGTGTTCATCATGGATATTGGCCTGAAGTTTTCTTTTCTTGTTGGGTCTCTGCTGGGTTTTGGAAACAAAATGATGTTGGTCTCATAAAATGATTTGGGAAGGATTCCCTCTTTTTGGATTATTTGGAATAGTTTCAGAAGGAATGGTATCAGCTCCTCTTTGTGTGTCTGGTAGAATTCGGCTGTGAACCCATCTGGATCTGGGCTTTTTTTGTGTGGTAGGCTCTTAATTGCTGCCTCGACTTCAGACCTTGCTATTGGTCTATTCGTAGTTTCGGCTTCCTCCTGGTTTAGGCTTGGGAGGACACAGGTGTCCAGGAATTTATCCGTTTCTTCCAGGTTTACTAGTTTATGTGCATAGAGTTGTTTGTAGTATTCTCTGATGATGATTTGAATTTCTGTGGAATCTTTGGTGATTTCCCCTTTATCATTTTTTATTGCATCTATTTGGTTGTTTTCTCTTTGCTTTTTAATCAATCTGGCTAGTGGTCTGTCTATTTTGTTGATCTTTTTAAAAAACCAGCTCTTGGATCTATTGATTTTTGAAGGGATTTTCGTGTCTCTATCTCCTTCACTTCTGCTCTGATCTTAGTTATTTCTGGTCTTCTGCTAGGTTTTGAATTTTTTTGATCTTGCTCCTGCAGCTTTTTCAATTTTGATGATAGGGTGTCAATTTTGGATCCCTCCACTCTTCTCATATGGGCATTTACTGCTATATATTTTCCTCTGGAGACTGCTTTAAATGTGTCCCAGAGATTCTGGCATCTTGTGTCTTCGTTTTCATTGGTTTTGAAGAACTTCTTTATTTCTGCCTTCATTTCATTGTTTATCCAGTCAACATTCAAGAGCCAGTTGTTCGGTTTCCATGAAGCTGTGCAGTTCTGAGTTAGTTTCTGAATTCTGAGTTCTAACTTGATTGCACTATAGTCTGAGAGACTGTTTGTTATGATTTTCATTGTTTTGCATTTGCTGAGGAGTGATTTACTTCCAATTATGTGGTCAGTTTTAGAGTAGGTGTGATGTGGTGCTGAGAAGAATGTATATTCTGTGGATTTGGGGTGGAGAGTTCTGTAAATGTCTATCAAGTTTGCTTGTTCCAGGTCTGAGTTCAAGCCCTGGATATTCTTGTTAATTTTCTGCCTGGTTGATTTGTCTAATATTGACAGTGGAGTGTTAAAGTCTCCCATTATTATTGTGTGGGAGTCTAAGTCTCTTTGTAGGTCGTTAAGAACTTGCCTTATATATCTGGGTGCTCCTGTATTGGGTCCATATATATTTTGGATGGTTAGCTCTTCTTGTATCAATCCTTTTACTATTATATAATGACCTTCTTTGTCTCTTTTGATCTTTGTTGCTTTAAAATCTATTTTATCAGAGATGAGAATTGCAACTCCTGCTTTTTTTATTTTTTTTTTTTTGCTCTCCATTTGCTTGGTAAATCTTCCTCCATCCCTTTATTTTGAGCCTTTGTGTATCCTTGCATGTAAGATATGTTTCCTGGATACAGCACACTGATGGGTTTTGGTTTTTTATCCAATTTGCCAGTCTGTGTCTTTTGATTGGTACATTTAGCCCATTTATATTTAGGGTTAATATTGTTATGTGTGAATTTGATACTGCCATTTTGATGCTAGCTGGCTGTTTTGCTCATTAGTTGATGCAGATTCTTCATTTTGTTGATGCTCTTTAACATTTGGTATGTTTTTGGAGTGGCTGGTACTGGTTGTTCCTTCCTATGTGTAGTGCCTCTTTCAGGAGCTCTTGTAAAGCAGGCCTTGTGGTGACAAAATCTCTGAGTACTGCTTGTTGGCAAAGGATTTTATTTTTCCTTCACTTATGAAGCTCAGTTTGGCTGGATATGAAATGCTAGGTTGAAAGTTCTTTTCTTTAAAGATGTTGACTATTGGCCCCCACTCTCTTCTGGCTTGTATCGTTTCTGCCGAGAGATCTGCTGTGAGTCTGATGGGCTTCTCTTTGTGGGTGACTCGACCTTTCTCTCTGGCTGCCCTTAGTATTTTCTCTTTCATTTCAATCCTGGTGAATCTGGTGATTATGTGCCTTTGGGTTGTTCTTCTAGAATATTTTTGTGGTGTTCTCTGTATTTCCTGGACTTGAATATTGGCCTGTCTTTCTAGGTTGGGGAAATTTTTCTGTATAATGTCCTGAAGAGTATTTTCCAGCTTGGATTCATTCTGTTCGGCACATTCTGGTACACCTTTCAAACGTAGGTTAGGTCTCCTCACATAGTCCCACATTTCTTGGAGACTTTGTTCATTCCTTTTTGCGTTTTTTTCTTTAGTTTTGGTTTCTCGTTTTATTTCATTGAGTTGATCTTCGACTTCTGATATTCGTTCTTCTGCTTGGTCAATTTTGAATTCCTTCTCTGTGTTGTATTGCATTTCTTTGAATTACCTCAAGCAACTATTTTTGATTTCCTGTATGGAAGGTGACATATCTCTTTTATTCAAGGATTTCCCTGGTGCCTTATTTAGCTTGTTTGGTGGTGTCTTGTTTTTCTTGGTGGTTTTGATACTTGTAGATGTTTTTCTGGATCTGGGCATTGAAAAGTTCAGTCTTTATTGTAGTCTTCACAGTCTGGGCTTGTTTGTGTTTATTATTTTTGGGAAAACTTTCCAGGTATTTAAAGAGACCTAGGCCCCAAATCTAATAACGCAGTAATTTATGCAAACAAATAGAGGTATTGCCTTGGTGGTCTTGGATTAACATCAAGAAAAATTATCTTGATTTATCAAGTAGAGACTCTTGACCTCTTCCCTTACTTTCTCTCAAACAAGCAGAGTCTCTTCTTCTGTTCTGAGGCACGTGGAGCTAAGATTGGGTAACATAAGCACCCCTGTGACTATCCCCACTGGGACTGTCCTGGTTCACACCTGAAGTAGGCATGGAACTTGGTCTTACTTAAGGCCCACTGTAACCCCTACTTGGCCACCATATAAATTTATTCAAAGTCCTAGGGCTCTATTACTAATAGCGGGCAAAGCCAGCCAGGTTTTTTTCTCTACCTCCAGGGTGGCAAATTATCCTAACCATGAGTAAGTCCATAGACGCTATCTGGGAGCTAGAGATTCAAGTATAAATCTTTAATATTTACCTGTTCTTCTATTTTACTGTAGCTAACCTGGCACTTAGGCCATAAGACAAAAAATTTTCTACTTTCCCTTCCTCTTCTGCAGAAAGAGGAGCCTCTTCTGTGGCTTCCAAAACTACTGGCCCATGGAGGAGGTTCTGCCAGATAATCATCAGTTTCTCACTTAGAGCCTGAGGACTCTTCAGTAAGCTTGTGATCCATTCTGCAATGACTGGGACTCAACCTTTGGCCCAGGATGAGTGCAGAAATGCTGACCAAGACCCTAGGCCCAGACTAAGAAACTCTAAGATTCTACTTGGTGCTCTACCCCACCATGGCTGAGCTTGTATATGAGGTGCAATACAAAGCTTTCTTTACTTTTCCCCCTGCTTTCCTCAAACAGAAGGATCTCACCATAGCTACCACAGCTGGAAATATGCTGGCTCACACCTGAAGTTAGTACTTCTCAAAGACCAATGCCTATGGTGTATGATCTGGGTGTTGCTGTTTTTTATTCTGAGTACAGAGGTGCTTTGGTCAGCAGGCAATGAATTCTACCAGATCTTTGCTGACATGGCAGCATTGAGTTTAATGTGAAGTCCTCCAGTCACTGTGCTCTCCCTCTCCCAAGGTCACAGGTTTCTCTGTGTTACATGGCTGCTTCTGGGTGGGGTTCAGGGAGTGGTGTTGTGAGCACTCCCTTAGTTGCTCTGGCTGGTGTCTCAGTAAGCCACATTCTCCCACCCCAACCCCCACATTCCACTGGTCCTAAGCCCAGCTTGGTAGCATGATTTGCCTAATAATTGATGTCCTGTGGGCTAGATGGCTCCTTAAGTTCTCTTAGGGTTCAGTGGCACTTGAACTTGTGATGGCAAGTCTTGTGAAGACTCTAGTTCCCAACATTGAGGTGGGAGAATTTCCTTTTGCTAGGGCCAATGCTAATATTTACTTCATTGCCTGATGTCAGCTGATTACAGCCTGGTTCTGCTTTTCACTGTGACAGGGAAGTACTGAGTTTATTCCAAGGTTTCACAATCTGTGCTCTCCCTCTCCCAAACATACAATCTCTGCACCATGGGGCCACTACTGATGGTTGAAAAAGGGGTGGCATCGGTGCTTTTAGATTCATTTGTTTTGTCTTCTCCAATGTCTCTTTCAGTGATATGAAGTTAATACTAGGTACTGTGATTGCTCACCTAATTTTTGGTCCCTTTGACAGTGCTTCCTGCATGTAGTGAGTTGAAAAAATTTGTGTTTTTGTATGGGGGATGAGTGGTGTAGTATTCTTTTCTGCCTTCTAACTCTGTCCCTGCCTTGAAATTTTAGATTATGCAGTTTGTTACCTGGATATATTGTGTGATGCTGTGAAATATTATTCATCCCATCACCACGTTAGTGACCATATATTATGGGATATGACTGATCCCATCACCAAGGTACTGAGCACAGCACCAGTAGTTTCTCACCTCTGCCCTCCTCCTTTCCTTCTTCAGCTAGTAATCCTCAGTGTCTATTGTTGACATCTTTATATTCATGAATACACTATGTTTAGAACCAACTCATAGGCAAGAGCATGTGGTATTTGATTTTCTGTTCCTGTGTTTCTTTCCTTAGGATAATAACCTCCAGACGCATTGATGTTCCTGCACAGTATTTCATGGTGTATATGTAGCATATATTTCTATTCAATTCATTGATTTACACACAAGTTAATTCCATGCATTCCCTATTGTGAATAGTAATATGAGCATGCAAATGCATGTGGGTTTTCTTTTTTCGTAGAATTTTAAATTTTCTTTTGGATATATACTCAGTAATGGAATTGCTTGTGGAATAATACTTCTGTTTTAAATTCTTTGAAAATTTTCCAAACTGCTTTGCACAGTGCCTGACATTTGGGGGGGCTAGAGAATGACAGTGGCAACTGATTTGATTCAGATATCACTAATTCTAATATGAGCTGTATTGGAGGATCATCGCAGAGTGAATTGCTGCTGTATCCATCCACAAGAAAATAAGTATAAAACTCTCAGGATAGCACCTGATTTTTGTATTTTTAGTAGAGATGGGGTTTCACCATTTTGGCCAGGCTGGTCTCAAATTCCTGACCTCAAGTAATCCACCTGCCTTGGCCTCCCAAAGTGCTGGAATTACAGATGTGAGCCACAGGACCCAGCCAGCCCTATTTCTTTAAGCCTACACATTTTGCCCTTGTTGAAAGTATTTGAACATACAATTATCAAGCTTTTTTTGTTTATGTATGCTTAAATCTTGTATAAGCTTAAATATTTTTTCCAATCTAAGCTTTTTTATCTCCTTTCTTATATATTTGTATAACTTTAGGTGGCTATCTTCATTGAAAATTTGTTCTCAAAAGCCTTGAAATAGAACATAGTTTTGGCAGCAACTTCAAAGTCATTTGAGGAGAAGGGGAGATTTATAATGATAATTCAAATGAAGCAAACTAAAAATTAATGAAGCAAGACAGAGGAAAAAGCAACATTTACCTGAGCACAATCCAAAAGAATAAAATTTCAAATGTAACTAGAAAAAAGTATGCTGAAGATCATATTACAGAAATAATTATTAATACTCAAAATAGCTCTAAAGCCCTGCTCACTTTTTGAATGCTGGAAATTAACCAAGAGGGGCCTGTAACTCTAAGATGGTTCCTTCAGTAATGACCATTTTCTTTTACAAGACGTTGAGTATTCTCTACCTTCTAAGAGACCAGCATTGCTCATCAATGCTGAGCAATGGAAAGTGAAGGTGTTCAGTTTTGGTAAGTTCTTAGTGAAATCCATGACCTTTTTCTTCATATTCTGGACTCCCAATGTGACTGATGAAAGTTACAACATGCTCTGCAGGGGGAAATGCTTTAGCGTGTATTACTATATTATAATCTCATCTTTGTAGAGCCAGAAGCATTTTGAAAGTCACATCGTGACATTGCTTAAATATAGTTTGTTTTTACCAAAGCATAACACATTGTATCATCTTGTATTAATTAGTTGAGTCAAAATTACTGCTAATTACTTAGTGGTTTCATGATTTATCTTAGTGTTAAAACCTTCTTTATTTCAGAACAATTTCACCTCTTGGTTTTCGTTTTTGCAGTGTGTCACTGCCTGCCAGCTGCTAATCTGCTAATACCCAGTGGATCATGTGACCTGTGAAGGGACTGAAGGAGATATTAGTGGCAAATTATGTTGATGATTCGTATTTTGAATAAATAGAACATTAAGTTTGTATACATTTTGAAAATAGTATTTTAATATTCAACTGTGTCATAGTCATTATAATTGGATGTATGTTGAATTTATATGTATATTAAGTTTTTACATGTTTATGTTCTTTAGCATTCTAACTTGCAACTGCATATCTGTAAAGACTTTTTCTTTTTCAAGAAGATCAAACTGACTTATTGAGCCATCTGATTGATGTCAAGTTGGGTGGCCCAAGCTCTGTGTAGGGATAAGGTTGAAGCAGAAAGAACAGTGGTGAGAGGCAAGGGTGCCAGACAGGCCGATCCTCTATCATGCCCACAGAGAAATCCTCTTTCCCCAGGGCTTGGGGAGCAGCCAGATTCCATGAGTTAAATGCAGATCTGAACCATACCAAGCTGGGATCGCGGTACACACTTTCCTCTTCTGAAGAGTAGCTAGGGATTCCAACTTGGTGAGAGGGAGACTGTGGCAGAGCCAGACTAGACAAGGACTAATCACCCGAAAAAGACTGCCATCAAAGAACTTGGTGAGTGCTGGGTGCCGTGGCTCAAGCCTGTAATCCCAGCATTTTGGGAGGCTGAGTTGGGTGGATCACCTGAGGCCAGGAGTTTGAGTCCAGCCTGGGCAACATAACAGAATCCTGTCTATACTAAAAATACAAAAATTAGGCATGCTATGCTTCTGTAATCCCAGCTACTTGGGAGGCTGAGGTAGGAGAATCGTTTTAACTGGGGAGACAGAGGTTGAAGTGAGCTGAGATCATGCCACTGCATTCCAGTCTGGGAGACAGAGTGAACCTGTGTCTCAGAAAAAGAAAAAGAAAAAGAAAATAGCCTTGGCAGAGTGGCTGGCCTGACAATGCCTTCCCTAGGGTTTCTCCTGGGTAGGGTTCTGTCATGAGGAGGCACTTTTTTCTCCCTGTTCATGGCCTGAATCCAAGAAATTTGTTTTTCTGGGGGTTGGGTGGTGGACAGAACTGGAAACCTTCTTTAGGTGATTTTTTGTTGTTGTTGTTTGTTTTTTGTTTTTTTTTTTTTAAGATGAAATCTCATTGTGTCACCTAGGCTGGAGTGCAGTGGCTCAATCTTGGCTCACTGAAATCTCCTCCCTTCTGGTTTCAAGCGATTCCCATGTCTCTGCCTCCTAAGTAGCTGAGATTACATGCATGTGCTACTGCACCGGCTAATTTTTGTATTTTTTATAGAGATGGGTTTTCAAGCTCCTGACCTCAAGTGATCTGCCCATTTTGGCCTCCCAACGTGCTGGGATTACAGGCATGAGCCACCATACCCGGCCCCTTCAGGTGGGTTTTGAGGCTTCACTACAACACTAATTTTCTGTTGCTGCTGCAACAAATTACTGCACACTAAGTGGCTTGAGACAAAACAGATGTCTGCCCTTACAGTTCTGAAGGCCAGAATTCTAAAGTCAGTCTTACCGAGTCAAGGGGGTAGCAGGGCCAATGCCTTCTGAGGCTCTGCAGGAGAATCCCTTTCCTGGCCCTGGAGATGGCCTGCAATCCTAAGTTTGTGCTGCCCTTCTTGAATGACTTCAGTTTCCTGCTTCCATTACTACACCTCCCACCACTCTCCATCACCTGCTCTGCCCTTATAAGAATCCGAGTGAGTACACCAACCCAGCTGGGACAGGCTGGGATAATCTTCCCAGCCAAAGATTGTTAACTTTGTTAAGGCAAAGCCCCTTTTGTCATACCAGGTCATGTTCACTGGTTCTTGTGATTAGGATATGGGTACCTTAAGGGGTTACTATCAGCCTACTACAGCAAGGCTGCAAAACTATTACACCCTTTTGGTGTTTTAATGATTGAGAGAAAAAGGGTTGGGATTTTTTTTGGGGCTAGGTTCCTCCTAATCGTGTATCCTTAAAGTCTGGGGTCCATCTTAACCTTGTTTCTTTTCTTTTTTTTTCTTTCTTTCTCTCTCTCTCTTTTTTTTTTTTTTTTTACTTTTTTGATATGGAGCGTTGTTCTGTTGCCCATGCTGGCAGCGGCAAGGTCTCAGCTCACTGCCACCTGGGCTCAGGCAATTCTCCTGCCTCAGCCTCCTGAGTAGCTGAGACTACAGGTGCCTGCCACCACACCTGACTAAGTTTTGTATTCTTAGTAGAGAAGGGGGTGGAGCGTGGTGGTGGGGGGATGGGGGTTTCCAGTCTGTTTCCCTGAGCCCAAAGCGATCTGGCTGCCTCTGCTCCCAAAGTACTGGGATTACAGTCCTGCACCACTGCACCTGGCTGCTGTAAAGTCTTATTTCCACACAGCTGAGACATGTTTTTGGAAGTTTGCTAACGGGCCCCTGGAGACCTCCTCATTGTGGTTTTCCTGTTGTGTTTAATTTGATTGATCTTTTCTGCTTTCCAGAAATTAAAAGGCTAACATGAGGTACTAAACTTTAAAACTTCTCTTTTCATTTATTTATTTATTTTTTGAGATGGAGTCTCACTTTGTCACCCAGGCTGGAGGGCAGTGGCATGACATAGGCTCACTGCAACTTTCGCCTCCTGGGTTAAAGTGATTCTCTTGCCTCGGCATCCCAAGTAGCTGGGATTACCGAAGCACACCACTACACCTGGCTGTTTTATATTTTTGGTAGAGATAAGGTTTTATTATGTTGGCCAGACTAATCTCAAGTGATCCACTTGCCTCAGTCTCCCAAAGTGCTGGGATTACAGGTGTGCACCACTGCACCTGCCCTAAAACTTCTCTTGTATTCTCCCATTAAACTTATTCTAAGAACCACCGAAACAGAAACTTTTTTGAAAGCAGTAAAATGATATGGATGGTTAGAATGTAAAATACAGGAAATAAGTCATTATATTTTAGTGCTGCTCTGACATAGGGATATATTATTGAGAATCAACTTTTGCTCAGTTTTCAGAGAATAAAATAATTCTTTCACTGATCTAGGAAAAGTTGAAGAGCTGTTTGAAAGAAATGTAGTGTGTCTGAATTGGAAAAGTCCAGTAATACTTTGTTCATGAGCATTTACACCATGCAGTTACTGTTCACCATGGGAAGTACTGTGGACAAGCCCAGGGCTGCTAGTCAATTGTGCCACTTTTATACATTTTTCCTTGTAAGGTGCTTTGTAGTGTCTGTCTAAATATTAGAAAAATTACTTGTTTCTACATTACTGCAATGCTAAGGAAATGTATTTCTTTAATCTGTTTTGTTACATGTGGTATTTGGTGGGGTGTGGTGGCTCATGCCTGTAATTCCAGCATTTTGGGGGGCTGAGGTAGGCAGATCACCTGAGTTCGGGAGTTTGAGACCAGCCTGACCAACATGGAGAAACCTTGCCTCTACTAAAACTACAAAATTAGCCGGGTGTGGTGGTGCATGCCTGTAATCTTAGCTACTCCGGCGGCTGAGGCAGGAGAATCACTTCAACCCAGGAGGTGACGGTTGTAGTGAGCTGAGATCCTGCCATTGCACTCCAACCTGGGCAACAAGAGCAAAACTCTTTCTCAAAAAAAAAATGGTATTTACCAAGATGCCCCTGTTGTCTCTACTTTTAACTTGATGCATCGCTGAGTTGATGTTAGAGTTCAAATTCTTCTTTGCCCTTACAATATTCCTTCCTGAAGCTACCTTTATGTCATAATGAAAGAAGTTAGCAATTTGTTATTGTCCTCTATCTGTTGGCATATATCAAATGTTCACCTAAAAATAGCAACAACCAGTAGAAACATATGATTTTGCTGTTTCTATTTGGATGACTTTTTACTTTGCAACATTACTGGCAAGCTATAAAATTGTATAGTAGGCCGAACTTTAACTAAATTGCTTTAAGTGAACATTTAAACATGATAAACTATATTGAAGTTTTTATGTTAATATAATTGAACATTTTTTCTCAATATGAATAATATAATGTACCTCTCAATAAAAATGAAAACCTAGAATTAGAGTAAATTTGCTAATGAGTTCAATAACTTTTCCACAATATTTTTAGTTATGTGCTTAAGGTTCTTTTAGTGTTTCTTACACTTATAATAGTTTAAGCCTTTTTTTCTGGTTTTTGTAGGTTCTTGTTTGTTTGTTTGAGACAGAGTTCAGCTCTGTCACCAGGCTGCAGTGCAGTGGCTCAGTGTCGGCTCACTGCAACCTTCACCTCCCAGGATCAAGTGACTCTCCTGCCTCAGCTTCCTGAGTAGCTGGGACCACAGGTGTGTGCCACCACACCCAGGTAATTTTGGAATGTTAGCAGAGACAGGGTTTCACCATGTCAGCCAGGATGGTCTTGATTTCTTGACCTTGATTTCTTGCCTTGGCCCCCAAAAGTGCTGGGATTACAGGCATGAACCTGGACTTTGTTGGTTCATTTTAAAGGAAAAAAAAAAAACCCTCATAATATGTGCTACCAGGAAGCATAAACAGTGAAGATTTCTTTACATATTTATTGCAAAGGCCTGGATCTTAGGAATTCAATTGAATGTTTTTTTAAACAAATTATTTTCTTAATCTTATCTGAAAGCATAGGCTTTGGGGACACAGCGGGGCCACATCTCTTACCTATCTGAGCCTTAGTATCATCCTCTTCTGTGATCATGAGAACTAAAGACCCACCTTAAAGATCTGATAAGGTAGTAAAGTGCTTCACATAATGCCTGGCATATAAATACATAATAAATGCTTCCTCCTCTTGTCTTTGTTTGTTTTTTCAGACAGAATTTTGCTCTGTCACCCATGGTGGAGTGCAGGG